TATCGTTTTCAAAATTTATCACTTTATGGTTGTATGGCTCAGAATTTCTTTCGTTCTACAGTAGTTTTATCAGATTTTTCTTCCGCGTGTTTTATACCGTAACCCTCTTTATAAGAATATCAAGCTTGACAGGAATTATCTAATTCTCCTACAACAAAAAAGATGAGGAATACTATGAGGCCTGAGGCGTTTGTTCCATATGTGCTATTAGCCTTAGGTGGTTAAGAAAAACAAGCCAAATTAACACTAGAGTTAATATAAAAAACACAAGTATTCGTATTCTGCGAATTCTCAAAATTATCGTTTTCCGCTGTTGAAAAGAAGTTACAAGGAACCGATTGCAATTGAAACTTTCGATCTTGTCGTGGTGAACCTCCGCTTTACTTTTTTTTTATAATATTAAGTGACGGGACGAACAAGTAGTGCGCCTGGTGGTAAGCTACACGCCTGTACATAACAGTTGCAGTGCCACTCAGAGCTTTAAATCGCAAAGATCTGAAGGGCGTGGCCACTGTGCCTGTCACAGGTATAAGTTGACAAGTCCCATATGCCTGTAATTTCCCCAGCACCCGTATCCTTTAAAACCGGAACACAGTGATGCTGACATTACAGCTTGGTGGCAGATTTAGGGTCGTATTCTAGAACTCTACTCAATGCTCAAGTCAGGACTTGAGTATGATTCAAAGCACTAGAAATCATACTCCAGTCCTTGCCATTAGGGTCGTATTTCCAGTGCTTGAAATCATATTCAAGTCTGCTCAAATCCTGACTTGAGCATTGAGTAGAGTTCTAAAATACGACGCAAAGTCAATAATTTTTCACAAGGAGCTCTACTGCTCTAATCCGTATTACACTTATTTTTCTATATTTATTTAAAACGGTTGTATTTGTACAGATATGCTACAACATAGGGGCGATACCAATGTATTACAGTCCAAGTACATTATGGCATAAAAAACCAAATTATCAAAATATTTTCAACGTGCTTTAGCAAGCCTGTTGCGTATCCATCATTACATGATGTAATAAAGCGTAAAAATTGTTTACACATCCACCATTAACAAATTAACGAATTGTTAGCTTTTAACGTTGAAAGATTTTATCGATATACCATCATTCATAGAAGGCGTGGGAAACTGTAAGGAATCATTTTTGCTCAGCTGAATGTCTATGTTGTACTTTTCAGAACACAGATGCCTGTAGTATATTTCATTTCTTTGCTTGCTTTAAGAAGCAGGAAGCAAAGCGTTTCGTGTGGGTTGGTTGTATTTAGTAGTTTTCTTCGTTCTCATTGCATGGACTTTAAGCCTTTTCTTACTAATTCTTTCTTATTTCGCGTCGATAAATATATCACTCCCTAATGCCACACGTGTGGTAGAGTTATCGACAACCAACTGAGGCTGTGTAATAGATGGGTAAATTCAGTTTCACTTGCAGTAGAAAGTGAAAGAGTTCGTCCTGGTAAGTATTGCCACCTTATCTATTTCTGCCGCCAAGCAGTAATGTGAGCTTTACTGCGTTCCGGTTTTGAAGGGTAAGGGTGTGGTGAAATTACAGGCACATAGGACTTGTCAACTTATGTCTCAAGGTGACAGGCGCAGAGACAGTGCCCCTCAGATCTTTGGAATTTAAAGCTCTGAGAAAGTGCAACTATAAGTGTTACAAAAAATAATGCCTGTGATGGTGGTGCGTTTTGCTTGAGGCATAAGGATACGAAAATATGTAGTTCTGTATTAAAAAGTCAAAGTGGCTAAAATTAACATCGGAAGGTTCACTTCTCCGTCACATATTGATGTTAGGTATTTAATTATTACCTATGCATTACGATAGCTGCGTCTCCTAAGATAACGATCGTGCATTAGACTGGCCCCTGTTATCTTTTTGGTAGAGTATCGTGGTTGTTTGACAATTTTAAAAATATTAAAATTATATTAGTAGCGAACATAATTGCATATTTCCAGCACACAAAGTCCAATTAGTATTATTATATCTAATAAGCTCATCAGAGGCTAATTAGGAAGTCGAAATGTAGCCGACGGAAGACCGTCACGCTACGCTCCCTTTCAGTTATATGCCTATTGTTTCTACTGGTTCCACTGGTGCTATTAGAGATATTCATATCGATAAAAATCCAACGAAATGGGCATTCGGCATAGTGTAGAATAATAAACGAGAAAAACGAGCATTAGAAGTGCTGTGAGAATTCAGATTTATTCTTCCTGAGTCTATAAGAAATAATTTATTTTAGAGTCTATTATCGTTTCCATTAACACATTCCTGCAGAAGGTCGATGTTTACAAAGACACGATTCATATTTAGTTATTTATGTTAGTCTAACGTAATTATGCATAATTGTCATAGTTTAATAAATTAGTTACTGATTATTTGATTTTAAGTTCGGGACTTAATCATGTATAAAACATATTTTAATTACCTCGACGTTTCGTACATATTGCAACGTCCATGAAGGAACGTCCCTTCGAGACCATGCAAACCTTGCAATACATTGAATGTCATGTTCTTTTAATACCATGATATTCATTCATTTTTTGTGATCCGCTGGCTCAATGCTCTCGGCGCTTGGATACAGAGCAAAACTGAGTGTGATTGCTCCTCTAGTTTGTAATAATTTAATACAAAGATGGAATGTATAGAAATATTCCTTCTATCTGTCAGAACTCAAACCTGCATCAGTGTACCAAACTAGGGCCACAATTTTTGTCAGGACGAACAAATTTTTCTGTGTTCGATATTTATACTAATAATTAAGTTACTGTTTGTTTTTTATTATTACACGACTGCAAAAAAGAGGAGGTTCTCAATTCGACTGTATACTTTTTTGTAAGTTACGCGATTACGCAGATATTTATGGGTGGATTTCGAAGATTCTTTTTTTGTGTTAAGGGGATGCCTGAGTAGTAGTCCCATTTAAATTCGAAGAAAATATTCCACCTTTAACGGTGGCAATGTAGGGAATGAACCCGGTTTATTACATTTCACCCACTCTCCGTTAACCAATTGCAATAAAAAATGACAAATAAGTATAATTCCACAAACTTTTAAAGTTTTTTTTGTTATAATTTTGAAATAACTTCAATTTTACAATTTGAATAGTATAATATGTGGATAACGTTCTTGATTGTACGTATACTTATGTTAGAGAATTTCACTATGTATGTAATCATATCCTGTACAGTTGTTTGTCATTCCTTAAAAACAAATAAATAAATAACAAAACTATAACGGAAATTATATTGGCGACAGCATTATTCCATCATGATTGTATCAGGGAAACAGAAAATCCACAAAATTTATATAGATGGATTACGAATATTATGCATAATGAACTCTTGCAATAATGTTGCTTACTCTAATTATTTACTAACGTAGTAAATTTACTAAACCAGTCAATTTTAGTAAATTTACTACGTTAGTAAATACTTAGAAAATTAATATATGTGATGGTGGTATACATTTTGGACATGCAAGTTTACAAATTAAAACATACTTTACGAAACATAATTGTTAGTAAGTCTCTCTCTAGTAAATAAATACGAAAATTAACTTGATTTTGGTTCTTTCAGTTGTCGCGGTATTTAAACTATCTATTTAGTCATCATTATCATCCCCCTGTAGTTACTAGTAATGCCCTATCAAATCAATTAAAACATACTTTATGAAACATGAATGTAAGTAAGTCTCTTAGTAAATCTGTCTAGTAATTATATGCGAAAATTAACTTGATTTTGGTTCTTTCAGGTGTCGTGATATTTAAACTGTCTGTTGAATCATCATCGCTGTAGTTACTAGGGATGGTGAACGGTAGTTACTAGGAATTTGATAGGGATCAAATCAATTGTGTGGTTTTTGCTCCTCTGCTCTGAACAAGGCCAAAATAATTTATTGTAAATATTTGTATAGGTGTGAACGGAATAATTAATCTGCGCTTATGTTTGGTGAACACCGTTTATCAACGACATTTAAGTATGTCGTAAAATATATCAGCGTTTAACCGTACTTTTAATGATCAATTAAAAAGTTTAAAATGAGTTTTCAAGACTTAGACAAAAACCCAAATGGGCCCTAAAAATTTGGTTACGCGTATTCGAATTTTTGTAACCAACAGATTAATTTTTTTTTTGTAAATGGAAAAAAAGTTGTTTTTCTACCATCACAGACTACAAAATTCTTACTACATTTATAAGTTGGTGAAACTACAATCACATGGGACTTGTCAACTTATGTCTCAGGGTGACGGGCGCAGAGGCAGTGCCCCTCAGATTTTTGTGATTTAAAGCTCTGAGTGGCACTGCAACTGTTATGGACAGGCGTGGAGCTTACTATCAGGCGCACGACGTCTTCGTCCCGTCACCTGATATTATATAAAAAAGTAAACTAGGTAGGTAAACTAGGTCGAAACCTGTGCTATAGCTTCCAAATTATAAAATTAAATGGTATATGTTACTTTTTTGCTGAAGTAAATGACTTGTAAAACTTTGATAAGAATTTTGTATCAGATTTATTGTTAAATACGTTACACAGTAGGATCTAGCGAAACCAAAAACTCAAAACACATCACATAAAATTACATATAACTGACCTTCCAAAGGTACTACACGGCTATGATTCAGTAAGTTAAATGAGTTTCGTAATGCATTGAATTGGAAACCTACGATAGGTTATCCAAGTACGGCTTTAGCAAAAAGCTGCGTCAAATTTATCTCTACGTAGAGTCGTAAGAGTTCGCAAGTTTTCTCTCCACGTTACCTAACCTAACCTGCCAGACACCGGTATGTGATTCACCCATCTGCCAATCAGCTGTTCATCATTATATGCCAATCACAAGGTCAGTTTTCATCTCAACCGAGCTTTCACTACAACAAAACTAAACAAACCGCAAATAAATAAATACTAACAACGATAATCCTCCATTTTAGCACAGTATAAATGGAATGTGAAATGAAACTTGTAGTGAAAGGTAGATTTAAACACTTAATTACAATTTGTTTTTACGCGAGCTTCAAAGGTTGCGTTCACTCGTCGTGATCGGCATAGAGACCGGCCGGAACAATTAGGCACGTCTGCTCGCGACGAGAGGCGCGGCTGTACTGGCAATATCGACCAGAGCAGTCTCCGACATGACAATGAGTGGAGCGCCGCAGTCTGCCGCTGCAACAACACTACTGCACTGCAGCTTTATTTTTGGCAAAGCACCCGAGTCCATTTTTTTTTCGGCAACTCGTCCGTGACATAAGTGAGCCACTGACCCGGATCTTCAGTCATTATGTTAATACTTGTATAATTGTGGTTTATAACGTTTGTGAAACGTGTTTCCACTTTATGAAGTGTGCAGATGCAATCAGCTCCTGTTGGATGGGCCTTTTTTAATTTTATTTTATTTTATTTTTATTTTTTCATCCCCACGTCGCGTTGTGTCAATCAACTTCCAAAAAGGATTCCAAAGATTTTTTGCACCAATACATGATTCCCTTTCACATACTTATTTGTATATTAATTATAGTGTTTATTATATGATGTAACCTATGACAGGCAGACCGTGTTACGAAATTGTTTCTTGAGTAAAATAACGCAAAAATAGTGTTAGTGTCCAATCCGTAAAAAGTTGGCCTTTTAATTCACTATTGTCTTTAAGTCATAATACAATATCAACCCATTTATACGTCCCACTGTTGGACACGGATATCCTCTCGGGCGAGAGTTTTCACAATACGCTGGCCAGATGCGGGTTGGGGACGTCACACGTTTTCCGAGGGTTGTGAACTTTTTCAACGCGCAGGTTTCATCGCGATGTTTGCCTTCAGCGAAAAAGCTAATAATAAATTTCAAAATAAATATCGCTCTCAAATTCCGAAAAACTCAGAGGTGCGAGCGTAAATTCGAACCCACGGAGTCATAATAAGTACCTAACATGTTTTTACAATCTAACGTTTAAGCATAAAAACTAAGGGCCTTTACATTTAAGGAAAGTCAGAGCATGTAATGTAAGGAATACTGCTGCCGTTAATTGAAATAATATGATTTTTAAATGTACATTGCCGTCATCTATAAGAAAAGGCCGTTCTGTCACTCTTTTTATTTTTTCCTAGGTGGAAAAGGCATGAAGTTATCGCAAGAGAAAATAAGATATTTTTTATTTTCTTGGTTTTGACTTTTTGTCATATGTGCCCTTTCAACTAACGGCGGCAGAATATGACAAAAGCAATACGTAACCTTTGGTTTTATAAAGTCTAATGGACATACTCGGAATCTCATCAACATTTTGAAGTAATTTTCAAAACACGGCCAATATTTTGATCGAATGTTTAACTTCCTGGTGCTAAGACGCGTCAATCAATTTTGAATATTTTATTTAATAAACAAATGACTATCGCATTATCATAAGTAAAGTTTGTAAATTATAGAGCACGAATGGATATAATCTATAACCAAACTTGTCCCATTTTCGTCAAACGATAATCCTTAGCCGTTAGTTATGATAATTTAGCTCTATAAATATACGTGAATTAGGTCGTTGCTTTGCAATATTCTGTTTTGTAATCTTGTGTTGTTACGTTATAAATTTGATTACTCATAATTTATATTTATAATGCATACAAAATGTTTGTCTTAGAGTGGTTATACAAGGTGACTTTTAGCAGCATGAAATCGCGCGTTTCAAGAACGCGCAATTGCATTTACACTTGCGATTCATAGGCGATTGCATCGATGCAAACGCGCGACTGCATCGATACAGTCGCTTAGGTGGAATAATTATGTACAAAAAAATCTGAACAGGTTTATGCACATTCTTTTGTTTTGTTAATTATAAATTTAAAAGTGAAATTAATGATTTGTGTGAAACGCTGAATGTGTGAGAAACTTATGCCGTGAGGCATGGATTAAGGGTACAATGAAAAGAAGAGCGTGTTTCTTGTTTTTAAATATAATTAATATAATTATAAAAAATAATTTTATATATAAATAATATTCCATCACTTCTTTTAAATAGTGTACCTTTGAATCGTGTTTCTCGGTTTAAGTACCTAGGACACATTATTACACTGAAAATCTAAAAGCAGGGCGTTGTCGGTGCGTTGTCACATGTTGTCTCAGAGGTTTCCTAGGTGCTCTGTAAATGTAAAAATAAGTCTTTTTCAGAGCTTACTGCCAGAATTTTTATACCGGTGCACTGTGTACCAACTTCACACAGAGAACGTACAACGCCTTACGCGTAATGTACAATAACATCTTTAGGGTTCTGTTGAGGCTTCCTTGCTTTTACAGCGTCTCTGGCATGTTTGGTCAAAAAAATCAAAAAAATCAAATCATTTATTTCTTTGTGATACACAGGTTATAAAGTTGTTACAAGAATGAATTTTGAATCACTGTGATCCGCCTTATGGCATACAAAGTTTTCTTAATTTTAGTAATTCTCATGCAATAATTTGTAATAATATTATAATCATGCAGTCCAATTAATGCAACCTATTACTAATGAAACATAATAACAATAGTAAAATAATCAATAACAAATTTAATAATATGAAATGTAAATTTTATAAGAAATCTTCAATATTATAGAATGTCCAATCATTTAGGTAATTAAATAATAATTTCTTAAATTCTGCACAATCGTTGCAATTCCTAATTTCAAGTGGAAGTTTGTTATAAACCTTCGTAGCCATTACTATTACACTCTTTTGAAGTAGAGCAGTTTTACATGATCTACTTTTCAGTTGATGAGAACGGCGGGCTCGTGTGACGAATTCAAATAAATGAAGATGACGCTTTACGAAAAGTGAAATTTCAAATATATATAAGCATGGTAAAGTCAGTATTTTCAAATTTTTAAAATGTGGTTGACAGCTATCTGTTTTTTTCAAGCCGCATATAGCCCGAATACATCTCTTTTGGGCTTTGAATATGCGTTCAATGTGTGGTGCATTTCCCCAAAAAATGATTCCATACCTAAGGTTGGATGCTACATAACCATGGTAGGCAGTCACTAGAGCGTCTAAATTTACTATTTTCGATAGCCTAAACAATGCATAAGAAAACTTTAGTATCTTACCACATACATATTCTAGGTGTGTTTGCCATTTTAGATTATTATCTATATATAAACCTAAGAACTTTACTGTCATTGTTTCACCGACCTCCTTGCTTTCATAGACCACTCTAGTTTGCATAGGTTTATTGTGTCTTTGTTTAAAGTTCATAACTTTAGTTTTGTCAAGATTTATAACTAGATCATTATATTTAAGCCATTCAATAATAGAGTTCAAACTTGTATTTATATTGGTTTCATTGTCATAAATTACCGTACAATCATCCGCAAACAATATCATAGGGTCGTTAATTGATTTAGAAATGTCATTTATGTATATTAAGAATAACAATGGTCCCAATACGCTACCTTGAGGTACTCCTTGACTTACTATTCTCTGTGATGATGCATAAAACTTCTCAATTTTCGATACGGGACATACTTTATTAATGTGTGTTGACTGAAGTCTATTTTTAAGGTAGGATTTTATTAGTTCCTGGGCATTGCCTCTTACACCGTATACCCACAATTTATGCAAAAGCATGTTATGATTTACATAATCAAATGCCTTGGTTAAATCCATGTATAATGATGAAACGGGCTGACCTCTGTCCATCCTAGAATATATTTTATCAAGAAATTCGTATATAGCCAAATTGATGGAATTATTCTTACGGAAGCCTTTCTGTTGGTCTATCAATATATTATTTTTTTCTAGATATGAGTATAGGTTATTAAATATTACTCTTTCGAAAATCTTGGACATTACTGGAATTAAAGCAACTGGCCTATAGTTCCCTAATTCGCCCTTATCACCTTTTTTGTAGAGAGGTTTTATTACTGTCGTTTTTAACTCTCTTGGGAATATCCCTTGTTCAATGCATTGATTTATAATGTAGCTTAAAGGAGGGGAAATAATATCACATACATACTTTAACACTTTTGTGGATATTTCATCTTCACCAGTACTACAAGTATTTTTTAGATTTCTAATGATTTGACATATTTCAAAGTGATCAGTGGGTTTCATAAAAAAAGATTTGGGGGAATTGAAATTGCACGTGTTTTTAAACACTGTTCTATAAGGTTTAAGTGTCTTTACCTGGTCAATGAAATTATCATTAAATATTTGAGCTATGCTTTTTGGATCTGTGATGCATATTCCGTTTACTACGATTTTACTTACTGTTGCCTTTGGATTTATCTGCTTGTTATTATTGATGATATCCCATGTTGCCTTTGATTTGTTTGCCGATGTATATATGTAATGATTGTTTTGCGATTTTTGAGTTAACTTAATTATATGGCTGTATCTTTTTGAATATAATTTAAATATTTGCTTATCGGAGGAACTTTTTGTTAATCTATATCGCCACAGAAGCGATCGTTTACGCTTACTACATTTTTTAATGCCCCTAGAGAGCCATTTTGGTCGCACTTCTGTCCTAAATTTCACTTTGACTATTGGAAAACATAGATCATAAAGTAATTTGAATAAATCATAGAACCTAGAGAAAGCCTCTTGTCCGTCCTGAGTATCGTAAACTTCTGCAAAAGGTAATTTAATTAGATATTTTCTAAATTTTTCGAGATACTCTTGACAATAGTTTCGTTTCATGCAGAACCAATAATTATATGTGCAGGTTTGCTTAACTGGGCATGTCATGAGTTGTGCTTTATGGTCCGAAAGAGCTAATTCACAAAGTTCAGTTTTTCCACCGCGTATATTATGAATAACATTATCTAAACATGTTCCACTTCTGGGTCTTGTGGGCTCTTTAACTGATAATTTAAGATTATAGCTCTCGATCAGCTGGATAAACGAGGTGGTATATTTGGATTTTTTTAAAATATTTACATTAAAGTCTCCGCATACTATAATCTTGTTTTTGTTACTAGATATAATTAGGTTTAGAACATCATCGAAATGGTTCAAAAATGACTGAAAATTTCTTGTAACATCTTTACATTTCGGTACTCTATATACACACAGAATTACTATTTTATGGTCAATCAATTCTATCGCACAGCATTCAAAAACATTAGGTATATTTA